CGCGGCCGACCTGCTGACGCTACCGGCCCCCAACGTGATGTTGAGGTCAATGATGGCCACGTGGGAAGTGGTGGCTAGCACGATCACCCTGATGTCCGTCGACATGGAGAACTGGGTCGCGCCATGCTCATGCCCCAAATGAACACATACCATCTATGGTTTTGTGAAGGAGCTCGGCGACTGGCCTTATGGAGGGCGAACGACCGACAAGCATGTGCTCGCCGCAACCATGGCGGCGACGGAAAGAACGCCCGACGCGGGTCGGCTGTCACAGCCCTAGCATTGCTTGTAATTAGTGGCATTGCATGCATGCATCATGTCTAATTTCTGAAAGTTGAACTGAGGAAAGTTGAAAGCCTCAAAACATTTAAACAAAAGAAGGGCAAGAACCCTTTAAATTGCATTCAGTGATTCCAACATGCCCTAAAAATAGTTCTGAGAATTTGGCAAGGGTTATATACCAAACCAAAAATTTGGAACATTTTTAAGGAAGTATTTGGTCCCTAAATCTAAAACAATATTCTATTTGAATTTGAAAATATATTCAAATATATATGGGATATATTTCCAAATGCTTTGTGATAATTTATGTGCCTTTGGGAAAGTCCATGAAGCAACATAAAAATACTAAGATGATGTTTTGGCATTGTTTGAATTTTGTTTGAATTCAAAACAGTGGAAAAAGATTAAATAAAACAGAAAACAATAAAAAAGAACAGAATCTCACCTGGCGCTTACCTGCAGCCCATCTGGCGCCCCAGCTGGCCCAGCACTATGCGGCCCACTGGCCCAACAGTGCCAGTCGTCCTCCTCCTTGCGCCAAAAGGACACCGGCGCATGCTCGACGCGCGCCGCGCCACCTCCAGGCTGCCTGCTTGTGCCCCGACTCATCTGAAGACACCACACAGTCGCCCGAAGCCGTCTGCCTCTTCCTCTCTCTCCCTGGAGCTCTCCCCCCTCCTTTGGCTCTCTCTCCCTCGTTGTTCCCCACCTCCCCAAACCGCGCCGCCGCCACCGACAAGCACCACCACGGCCATCGCCTCTCCCTCGTCCTCTCGAGCGGTCCAGAAGCTCCGTTGTATCGTCCTCGACCTCCTCGCTGAGCTACGTAACACCAGGAGCAGCAGAGCACTGGCCCCATCGTCTCCATCGCCGCCTTTGTTTCGTCACTGTTGTCGTTGATTTGTCGACCTAGCGCTTCCCCGACCTCGCTGTTGCCTCTGCTGGACTCGCTGTGAGCTCCCGCACCTCTCACCCCTCTCCCCGTTGATGCATTCCTCCTCTAGCCACCGCCCCTGAGTAACCAAGCGCTGCCATCCGCCATGACCGGCGAGCCCACGCTCCCGAGCCTCTCCAGCTCGCCACAGGGGTACTAACACGCTCCTGGCGCCTCCAGGAGGCTGCCTAGCCACTTTGCTTGCTCGCTCGAGCGCTGTAGCCGCGTCCCCGCACTTGCCCGAACTCCGGCCACCGCCGCGAGCTCCATTCCGGCGAGCTCCGGCCACCCCAGCTCGAGCTACTGCCACCCCTGGATGCGCGCGAAGCCCAGCAACCCATAGCCGCAAACCACGCCCGAAACCATCCCCTGTAGCGCATTCCCGTGGCGTTTCCTCGTCGGCTTTGGTCACCACCGGCTGAAATCCGGTGAGGTCGACGTGGCCCCATCATTAGCAACTAATGACATTGCTAATTAATCCCTAGAGCCACTGACATATAGGCCCCGCTCTGCTAATTAGTTTAGCTTAAGTTTAACTTAAACTGGTTTAGCCCTGTTACACTAACATGTGGGCCCAGTGTCAGGTTTGACCTGGACCGGCCCTATTGACCAGCTGATGTCAGCATGACCTAGTGCTGACGAAGTAAAGCTTTTCTAGGATTTAAAATAAATCGGAAATGATTTATTCATTTCAAAAAATGTTTAAAACTTCAAAATATCATAGAAAATAATCTATAACTCAAAATGAAGTGAGTTATATATGAAAAATTATCAGAAAAATCCAATCTATCCATCTGTACCATTTTCATGCATGTTAGAACAACTTATGACTATTGTTTAGGGAAAATAAAATAAATGGTATTTGAATAATCACATATGGAGTTTGAATTTGAATCTTTGGTTCAAACCAACTTCATTTAATCTGGTTTTAGTTACATTAGCTCAAATCATAGCATATTGACATGTCATGATCATGCATCATATTGTCGCATTGCATTGATTGTGTTCCCTCTCTGTTGCCGGTATTTCCCCCCCCCCTTCCCAAGTCGACGTGCTCCGGTGATGAGTTCGATGACACCGATGAAGAGCTATACTATCTTCAGAAGTGCCAGGCAAGCAAAACCCCTTTGTTCATTCCGATACAATCCTACTCTCTCACTCCTGCTCTCTTTTACTGCATTAGGACAACAACGATTCAACTGGTACATGCTGCGGGAGTTGAACCCCTTTCCTCTGCATGACCTGTCATTGCCATAGTAAATAAATGAAACCCACTAGCATGAGTAGGAGTTGTTTGAGCCCTGACGTGCCTACTCATTCATGTTTGTTTGTCATGCCTGCTACTACTTAGAGTTGAGTCAGGTATGATTCATCGGGGATGAATTGGAATGTTGTGAAACATGTCCTACTGTTGAGAGCTAAGTGTGTGAACACGGTTTGGTAAAGGTAGCGGTGAGAGGCCATGTAGGAGTACATGGTGGGTTGTCTCACTGAAACCTTCCTCAGGAACTGAGTTCTGTGTCTGTGATCCAAGAAAGTTGCTACCACACATTGGGTTCCGGTAACTCGACCCCTCTCGACTTATTAATCAACATGATCTTTGTCCAGGAGTTGCAACTAGTTTCTGGTGTTTGTAGGTAGTGCTAGTAGTCTACCAAGTGGAACCCGGTACAGGTGGGCTTGGGACAGACTAGGTGCAGTGGCATGGTGTACCAAGCGTCGCCGGTTTGGTGGGCTTGGGAACCCTGCTAACATTGTTTGGGGCCGTAAGCGACACCCCAGCCGGATCTCCTTGCGGATGGAACCCGAATAGGCGATAAACCTGGACTAGAGACTTGCGTGGTTAGTTAGGTCGTGGCCGACACCCTCACCAGGCTTCCGCTTGAAGGTTTCCGAGATACATGACGTGTACATGATGGTAAGTGGCGAGAGCGTTTGTGAAGAAGTACACCCCTGCATGGTTAATATGATCTATTCGAATAGCCGTGTCCGCGGTAAAGGACTACTGGGTTGCTTATACAGTTCATAGACAAGTGAAAGTGGATACTTTAAAATGCGCAAGATAAGCGTGAGTGCTATGGATGGCCTTCTCATAGGGAGACAGGAGCAGATCCATAGTGGTGTATTGATATGGTGAATATATGGACTCATGTGCGCCACCTCAAAAAAGTTACTTGCAGTCGTAGTTTAGTATAGTCACCGAGTCAAAGCTGGCTTGCTGCAGTCAAACTCCACCACCCCCTTGTTGATACTGATGCATATGCAGATGGTTCTGATGTAAGTCTTGCTGGGTACATTTGTACTCACGTTTGCTTAATTTATGTTTTTGCAGAGAGACTTCAGTCTCACTAGTAGTTTCACATGAACTTCGATGTTTAGCTTGTTACCTCAGCTACGATCTTCTACCCTTTGGAGGATCTTGTAGATAGTCAGGCTTCTCAGCCTTTTTTCATTTGTAGTTGTCTGTACTCAGGCATGTTATGTTTCCGTTGTCTGTTTGCTCTGTATGTTAGGTCATGTGACCCATGTTTGTAATATCCGGCTCCTCAGAGCCTATTGAATAAATACTTCGAGTCATAGAGTTTTGTTGTGATGCCATGTTGTATTTGCAAATATCGAGCATATTGTGTGTATGTTATTGAAATGCTTGGTATGTGTGGGATCCGACTACCTAGTTGTTTATTCTTGGTAGCCTCTCTTATGGGAAATGTCTCCTAGTGCTTCCACTGAGCCATGGTAGCTTGCTACTGCTCCGGAACACTTAGGCTGGCCGGCATGTGTCCTTCTTCGTTCCTGTGTCTGTCCCTTCGGGGAAATGTCACACGTTGTTTCTCTAAGTCCTTGTAGTTTGCTACGACTTGGGTTCATACGTTGCTGATCGGCATGTTCGTTGCTGGGTCATGTATGCATGTCCTGTAAGTTAGCGCCACCTTGGGTTTAAAACTAGTCATGTCGGCCCGGGTTCTTTGTCATATGGATGTTAGTGACACTATCATATACGTGAGCCAAAAGGCGCAAACGGTCCAAGGCCAGGTAAGGTGGCACCCGTGGGAATATCGTGCATGAGACCGCAAAATGATATGATGTGTTACATGCTAGATCGGTGTGACTTAGGATCGGGGTTCCGACTCAGCACAACTCTAGCATGAGGAGGGTGTGTGTCATCGCTGCCTGCGTGGCCTTGGCGACAAGGGCCTCATTGTCCTCAGTGGTGGCCTTGTGTTGCGCGGTGGCGGCCTCGAGGGCGTACTCGGCAGTGGCTTTCACTGTCCGCCTGAGCGGCCCTTTGGGCTCTCCACTTAGTCGATTCTCGGTCGAGTCGCTAGAGCTCCGCTGCGTGATCTCCTCCCTCGGCTTCTTCTTCTTCGTTGTCGTGGGACAGGCGGAGGTAGCGGCCGGGACGGCGGCGGCGGGTTGCTGCGAGGTGTCGGCCATGGAGTGGGAAGGGGCGGGAGGGCTTTTGGGAAAGAAGGAGGAAATGGAAGCGTCGTGTCCCCGATGGGCGGGCCATGGGAGAATAAGGGTGCGAGCGTCCCGCTCGTCCGTGTCATGTCTGTGTCAATACAAACACAGTCTAAATTTAAGTCAGAAATAGATCGACGACGGACAAAAGGCGGACTGACGTCCGTCTGCTGTCGCGAGCCATGACTTATGTCGGGCACGTCCATCACGCGCCGGACAAAATGGGGTCGTGCATCGAAGTTGGCCTTAAGATGCTTTGCATTCCAAACTGAAACAGTGCGCCGGAACTCTGCATAGATTTCAGGCCGGAGGACGGACGGCGATGACTACGAGGAGATGGTGGAAGCGGCGCGACGGCAGCGATGACGCCGACGATCTCGTCCCCATGGACACCCAAGGCATGTACCATCGTGTGCGTACCTCCTTTCCTCCCACCCTTTTGCTTGGATTCCAGCCACCCCCGATTTCCTGAACCCCTTTTCGCATTTGTTGTCGTCCTCGTGATCTGCGCGCAGAGCAGGAGGAGCTAGTCCGTTCCCTGGAGCAGAAGCAGGTGCACCAAAGCCGCCGTTGGAGGGTACGTATCGCCGCCAATTACCGACCCGTTCGACTTAGGGTTTGGAGGTCTTGCCATGGGGAATGGTTCTATTCAGTTTGATCTGGTTCTCACACTAAGCCGTTGCTTCTTGATTGGGCAGCACGTCTTTGCGGGATTCCTCCTGAGCTACACGGTCTTCCTCGTCTACTCCAGCTTCCACCATGCCTGGTCTCCCTGGGAGCTGGTTAGTTGCTTGAGGCTATTATCTTAATTCTTTACATGGTGTTCACTTTTTATCAGTGATGATTTCATCCAATGTTCAATGCCACTTTCAACTGGTGTAGAGCTTAGCATTGGCATTTGGCAGTATACATCGTAAGTCAGTTTTGTGTGGATTGGGGTTTGGTAGCAGCTACTAGTTGGATTTTGTCCATTGAAATAACAGAGTTTTCTTTAATAGCACATGTATTAGTGCTCTGTAATTTTATCTACACTCTGAAAACATTCACTAGTACAACAGTGCTTAACCATCATAATCCCCGAAATCATGATGTATGTTGCATGTATTAGTGAATTTATTTTGGAACGATCATGTCTTTATGTATTGTTGTCTGACTCATTCTGCGCAAATGAACAGCGATACCATGCTTACTTTATGGAAGATTTGCCTTCGCCGATGGTCATCGTTGCAGGTAACAGTGGTTACTGAATATTTACAGCTGGTAGCATAAACAAGACATCGTTGCAAGGCATTGTTCTGCATACAACATTCACAACAGCTTACACAGTGTCTGCATGTTACATTATTCAACCTTTAAACACTGAGAGTTCATACTCGCTCAAGGTAATAACATTGCATCTTACTTTTGTGAAAGCGACTGAATTATATATGTCCGATATCAGGTCCCTGCATCACCAGGGGCTTCTGTGAACACCCAGATAGTATATCACACGATCTATTACACTTGCTCACGAATTCGAGTATCAGGTGGCGATTACAAGCACTGGTACATGAATGGGAAAGGGGATCGGGAAGGGAGAGGAACAGAGAGCCGCCGCCGCCGGGTGCCGTGATTCACTGGATGCCTTGCGCTCCTGTGCGTGTGACCTTAAGTAGCTGGTTAGGTCACACCCACTCTGGTCCTTGGTTCCGCGGGAGCGAGGCCGTGTGGTTGACGAGGGAAGGGCCTGGGGCGGTAGCGGGCCTGACATCCCCTCCTTCTTGAGAGGAGGCTTGACCCCAAGCCTCGGCCGCCGGAAAACGTGCTTGTAGCTCCTTTTTGTCTTCCCAGGTGTCGTCGATCTTGGTTCGATCCGACCAGCGCACCAACACTTGTTCGACCATTTGCTTGCGCTTCCAGCGAGTGTCGAGGATGGCTTGAGGCACAACTGGCACATCAGAGAGAACAGGAAGTACTGGCTCGACTGGTGTACCTGGGAGCACCGCGCGGCGCAGCATGGAAACGTGAAAGACGGGGTGGATTTTGGCTTGCGGAGGCAGCTCCAGTTTATACGCCACCTCGTTGATCTTGCTGATGATGGGAAAAGGACCATAGAACCGAAATGAGAGCTTGTGATTAGCTCGTTTCACCACTGACGTCTGGACATAAGGTTGAAGTTTCAGAAACACCATGTCACCCACTTCCAAACTGCGCTCAGATCGCTTCCGATCAGCTTGTTGCTTCATGCGAAGCCGAGCACGCTGCAAATGCTGTTGCAGCAAATCCTGAATGACGGTGCGCTCGTCCAACCAGGAGTGAAGTGACGGCATTGAGTACGCTGTAGTGGTAGTAATCCCCCAATGTCGGGGTTCATGCCCAAACATGGCTTTGAAAGGAGTCATGCCAATGGAAGAGTGGGGGGAAGAATTATACCAGAACTGAGCGAGGGGAAGCCAATGACTCCATCGCTTTGGGCAAGCGTGAGTAAAGCAACGGATGAAGGTTTTGAGGCATTGGTTCACTCGTTCAGATTGCCCATCCGTCTGGGGATGGTTGGCGGTGCTCAAGCGCAGTTCAGTGTCGGCATAGCAAAACAACTCTTGCCAGCAGTGGCTTGTGAAAACCGGATCCCGGTCAGAGACAATGGCATGAGGAAACCCATGAATCGGGTAGATGCGTTGCATGAACAGCAGGGCCACGCGAGAAGCGGTGTATGGGTGGGCACGAAGTAGAAAATGGGCAAACTTAGTCATCCCATCGACCAAAACCCAGATGCAGTTATGCTGACCTGATTGAGGCAATCCATCGATGAAGTCCATTGTTATCATATCCCACGAGGCTTGTGGTACTGGGAGAGGTTGCAACAGCCCCGGCGATGCCACCCTTTCAGTTTTCGCTTGTTGGCATATTTGACAGCACCTGACATATTGCTCAATGTGAGTCTTCATCTTCGGCCAAGCAAACAGCCTGCGGATACGCTTATAGGTCACTGGGAACCTGGAATGCCCTCTGACTGGACTGTCATGGAAGGCTGTCATAATTTTTTGCTGTAGCTCTGTGCTGCCTCCAAGCCATATACGATCCCTGAAACGGATGATGCCCTGTGCTAGGGTGAACCGATTTTTGGGGTCAGGTCTGATTGCCAATTGTTCCAAAAGCTTTTGGGCTTGCGGGTTGCAGTTATAGCTTGTGAGCACATCTTCAAGCCATGCTGGCTGACAAGAGGAGATCCCAAACAGCGTTTCTGCTTTGGGCAACCTAGAAAGAGCATCAGCGGCTCCGTTCTCCGACCCCTTGTTGTAGACAATGCGGTACTGCAACCCGAGGAGTTTAGTGAAGGCCCGTTGTTGCCATGGAGTAACCAACTGCTGTTCTTGCAGGTGAACCAAGCTGCGCTGATCTGTTTTGATCACAAATTCTGCCGACTGCAAGTAGGGACGCCACTGATCGACTGCCGCAATGATTGCGAGATACTCCTTCTCATATGTGGACAGCCCGCGGTATTTCTGACAGCGATTTGCTCATGAATGCAATTGGATGCCCATCTTGCTGTAGGATGGCACCGATGCCCACGTCACAAGCATCCGTCTCGACTGTGAATGGTTTCTGAAAATTGGGTAGTGCCAGCACCGGTGCCGAGATCAATCCCTGCTTGAGCACCTGAAAGCTCTGTTCGGTGTTGTCAGTCCAGACGAACGGAGAGCCCTTCTTCAAAAGATTGAACAAAGGTCGAGCCAGCACCCCAAACTGACGCATGAATCGCTGATAGTAACCTGCCAGACCCAAAAACTGCCGAACTTCCTTGACGTTTGTTGGAGTTGGCCAATCACGAACTGCCTGAATCTTGGTAGGGTCCGTGGCCACCCCGTCCGCGCTGATGACATGTCCCAGATAAGATATGCGTTGCTGACCAAAGGCACATTTGCTCATCTTCACCTTCCATTGGTCACGCCGGAGCAGGCTGAACACTTGTTGCAGATGCTGAACATGGTCTTGCAGAGTCTTGCTGAAGACAAGGATGTCATCGAAAAATGCCATCACACACTCTGATAAGCGGATGTAAGGTTTCTGTCATACCCCCATTGAAGGTGCCCGGCGCCCCAGCCAAACCAAAGGAGACAACCAGGAACTCAAAATGACCGGTATGGGTTTGAAAGGCTGTCTTGTACTCCTCCCCCTCTGCCAAACGAATCTGATGGTAGCCTGCACGTAAATCCATCTTAGAGAACCACCGAGCACCATGCAACTCATCCAATAACTCCTCGATCACCGGCACTGGGCACTTGCCCACCACTGTCATTGCGTTCAAGTGACGGTAATCGATGCAAAGCCGCCATGTTCCATCCTTTTTCTTGACCAGAATCACCGGTGACGAGAAGGGACTATGACTTTTTCGAATGATGCCTTGAGCCAACAGCTCCTTGACTTGTTTCTCAATTTCTGACTTGTGCTCGGGTTTGTAACGGTAGGGTCTCAAATTCACCGGTTGTGCTCCGGGCATGAGTGGGATGCGGTGATCGCACGCGCGCCTTGGTGGTAAGCCTTTGGGTTCTTCAAAGATGTCCTTGAACTAATCAATTACTGCCTGGATGTTGCCTGGGGTCGGGGTGAAGATCTCATCGGACTCGCAGACCTGATCCAATTGCACTACCTGTGCCACTTCCCCCTGTCGTTGCAGAGACTACAGCTGCATACTGTTGATCTCCGTGCAACTTGCAACTCCCTCTACCTGACCCTGAAGGTGCACGGTTCCTGCCGAAGTGGTGATCCAGAGTTGCTTGCCGCGCCAATCCACATTCATGGGGTTGTGCTCTTCGAGCCAATCCATGCCCAAAATTGCATCGTAAGCGCCCAATGAAAGAATCTTCATATCAGTGATGAACTCCTGCTCCTGAATAGACCAACGGCACTTGGGTATGTGAGACACGCAGCAAAGCTCACCCCCATCGGCTACCTTGACTCGGCAAGGTCTGGCGAGGGGGTGTCACCCCTAACAGAGAGGTTGCCAATTGGGCGTCGATGAAGGATGTTGAACTGCCAGAATCCACCAAGAGCAGGATAGCGCGACCTTGGAGCCACGCTTGGAGTTTGATGGCCTTTGGAGGAGTGCCACCCGTGAGGGCTTGCCTTGAAATTGCCATCACTATTTTGAGGGGAGCATTCTGAAGCTCCTCGCTCCCGTCCATGCCGAAGAGCTCCAGCAGTTCTTCGATGACGTGAAGTTGCACGCTAGTGGGGCATGTGTGGTCTTGCCCCCATCGTTCGCCGCACTTGAAGCAAAGCCCACGGGCTCGCCGATACTCGCGCAGCGCCTTGATCTTGGAGCCGTCGCCGCAGCTAGTGTCGCCGGTCCGACGCTCGGGCGCAGTCAGTGTCGTAGGAGGCCGCCCCTGTGGGGGTGGTGGCGGTAGCGGCATGCGTATGCCTGCATGCGCTCGCGTCGCCAGGTCCGCCGCCCGAGCCGTGGTGGGTTGACGGGGCCGCTCCCATGTACCGCCGTCTGCCACTTCCTCTTGCAGCAGTGCTAGCGCGCATGCCGTGTCCAAGTCAGGCGGTCGTTGCACCAGCACAATCGCCCGTATGTCCACTCGAAGCCCCTCCACAAAACGAGTGAGATAATAATAAGGATGGATGGAATCAGAATAAGTAGACAAATGACTGATGATTTGCTCAAATCGCTCAATGTAATCTGCCACAGTTGTTTGTGCAAGCGTGTAAAATTGGCGGATGAGTAGCTGATGGCGATCTCGGCCAAAACGAGTGCACAACAAGGAGGAGAAAGATTCCCAGTCGAATTCAGAGAGTTTCTTCTGAATCGACTGCAGCCACACTGAGGCCGTGCCCGAAAAGTTGAGCGTGGCCATGGGAACCCAGAAACTCTCTTGAATCGCAAACATATGGAAGTACTGCTCGCATAACGTCTTCCAGAGGCGTGGGTTCTCACCAGAGAATTGGTGAAACGCAATCGATCGATGGGTCTGGCCGATCCCCATGAGCAGCTGACTCGCATGCGCATAAGGAGACGGCAGAGCCGCGGGAGACAGGGAAGCGGACTGACCGTTGGCCGGGGTGGACACCGACGCTAACGCCGGTGCCAAACCCCGTGGTGGAACGTCGATGCCGTGGTCAATCGACCCGAGGGCGTCGCCCTCCGCGCTCTTGCTGGTGCCGACGTGGTCACGCAGAGGCGCCGGGGGAGCAGGTGGCGGCGGCGCGCGTGCCGCCGCGGGCTGCCCTTCTGTAGTCGGAGCCGGTCGTGTCTGTTGAAGCTCGGCGACCGCGACCGCGAGCTGGTCCACGCGCTTCTCCAGATCCGCCCGCTACTGGGCCAGATCGTCGAGCTTGGCGGTGTGGCTGCTGATGTCGGCGTGGATTGCGTCGAGGGAGCCCGTGAGCTTGTCGAAGTAGTCCTTGAAAGACGGCTCCATGGCAGAGATCCGGTCCTTGATCGACTTCTGCAGCCTGGTCTCGATCAAGTGTGCCAGGACGCGGATCAGAGGCTCTGAACACCAGATGTTAACACCCAGATAGTATATCACACAATCTATTACACTTGCTCACGAATTCGAGTATCAGGTGGCGATTACAAGCAGTGGTACACGAATGGGAAAGGGGATCGGGAAGGGAGAGGAACAGAGAGCCGCCGCCGCCGGGTGCCGTGAGGTGCCGTGATCCACTGGATGCCTTGAGGGTGCCGTGAGGTGCCGTGATCCACTGGATGCCTTGCGCTCCTGTGCGTGTGACCTTAAGTAGCTGGTTAGGTCACACCCACTCTGGTCCTTGGTTCCTCGGGTTGGGCTTCCTTCGCCTGGCGGGCCGGGCCCCGAGCAAGGCCGTGTGCTTGACGAGGGAAGGGCCTGGGGCGGTAGCGGGCCTGACAGCTTTGCTTGTTATTGCCACCAATCTACAGCTAACACCCCTCAAATGTTTTTTTACCTTTCCATTGAGGTTTTAGTAAGCTCATTTTTTTAATCTGAAAACCTTAGTACAGTTGTTGTACGGTAATTTTCATTTATATCGAAAATATGTACAAAGCTAACAACAGCAAAAAAAGTTCATGAAGGTTTCCAGCTCTAGGGAAATCCATATGTAACAATTGGTCTAAATCAAATGTGACTATCCGATGACTGAAACCTTCCTTGTACTTGCTCTTGACTCTTATCTGTACAAGTTGTAAGTCATATCTGATTAAAAACCTCCAAGACTGAATTGATGGGTTTGGGGCGTTGAATATCTTGGAGTTTCTCTGCATCCAAATGTGCCAGCACCCCATAATAAGAATATCCATTGCAAACATGGCAGGGAGAGAGTCTGAGGTGAGCATCAGTTCATCTAAAACACAGATCCCTCTTCTTCTGTCATTGGTAGTGTAAGTTCCTTTTAAGTAAAAGGATGATATCAGGAAAGATTGCATCTGGTGCGCCTGGCAGTACCGTTATGATCAATTCATTCATGTAGGCTTATTTGCTGCTCCCTCTCATCCGTATGATTGTTGCTGCTTTAGTACAATTTTGTACTAAAGTTGTATTAAAGCAGCGATAATTAATTTGAATCGGAGGGACCGAGGGAGTAGTATTTTATTCCAAAACATCTGGAACAAAATATGTTACTAAAGCTGGTCAGGCTGGTCGTAATGGGGAGTATCATATATTAGTATCATGCATATGGTACTACCTCCCTAAAGCATAGTACCATACATTAGTATCATATAGTACTTTATTTAGTGACATGTATGACACATACTAGCATAACATTTATTATGATACGGTATCATGATATGATCCTCAGCCGTCTCTTTTTCATTTAATTATGCGTCACCTCATCAAAATTGCCTAGTCGGCATGCATGATACTAGCTATGACACTCCCATTACGACCAACCTCATAGTGGGAGTAATTAGCTACTACCTCTGTCTCGGTGAATAAGTCATTCGCGTAGTTCTAGGTTGACAATTTAACTATCTAAATATGTATTATATGTGACAAAAGATATATATTTAGAAACTACATCCGTGTATAAGGCTGGTTGTAATGGGAGTATCATAGCTAGTATCATGCATGCCAACTAGGCAACTTTGATGAGGTGGCATAGAATTAAATGAAGTAAGAGAGGGTTGAGTATCATATCATGATACTGTATCATAATAAATGCTACACTAGTATGTGTCATGCATGGCAATAAATAAAGTCATATATGATACTATCATATGATACTATGCATTAGGGAGGTAGTATCAGACTAGTATCATATGCATGATACTAACTTATGATACTACCCATTACAACCAGCCTAAATCTAATGATATACTTTTCATGACATATAACACATATTTAATTCCTCAAATTGATGACCTTGAACTACGTGAATGACTTAGTCACCTAGACGGAGGTAGTAGTAATATAGCGCATCCCAAGGTAAGTTTGCTTATGTGTTAACTAGTTAATGAGGTGTTTGTGGCAACATTAATATGTTACTGTAACATAACACACCTCAAGACAAAATGAGTCTACATCTAAATAAATGAAAGTTTGCATGATACCACACATATGTTACTCTCTGCTATGACCAGCCTAATGTACACACAAGTAGTTTAACCCCTCCTTGTTTCAATGATGTATGATTGTGAGTAATGCAGATTGGATAGCTGCCCTTGCATGCTTATTCGCAGTTAAGGGGCTACTACAAGCATCCAACTCCTCCAAGAAGTGGATTTGGTATTCATTCTATGTTGGCATGGCGGTTGCCATCTTCTGGACATACTACCTCTTGAAGTATGTTATCCTACAAACAATTCGTATATCCTTGTTATCTCAGAACGTAGCATATCAGGCTAATGCTGCTCCAGCCATGACCTTACTGACCAACAGCACATAGAGCTTATTATTCAGTCATATGTTTGTTTCTTCTCCCCTGCAGGTTACCAATGATCCGATGGGATGTAGTGTGGCTCCCGCTTGGCCCTTTGATGTATGTTTACTTTCTCCTCCTTTGACCTGCTTTTCTGAATTCACGAGTGATAACATTCTCGTCTGTTACATGTCTTGTTTGGCAGTGCTTCTGCATCGAGCCTCTATGTGGACCATACGCTAATGAAGTCGATGCAAGATATCAGCACCTTGAGGGGCTACATGTACAACTTCAAGTCCCTGTGATGCTAAGCATACTTCTCGTCTGGGTCTTGCACTTGGCTGCACTGTTTACATGGGATACCCCATCATTCGTTTCTACTTGCGACCTCTCGTTCTCGATTTCAGAACGTCAAGTCAAAATTAGTATACTAGTCTAGTTTCCCCGCAAAAAAGAAGAAGTATACTTGTCTAGTTGCTTCAGCCTTGCGTATGAATTATCGCTGGTTGCCTCACAGTAAGGAAAACTGATACGAATCATCTACTTTTCAATGGCTGCTTGTTCATCACTCTTAGCTAACTTAGACCAACTCCAACGGACGACCCCAACCGTTTTGTCCGTTTTGGTCAGGCAAATGGGCGGTGTCCGGCTGTTTTCTTAGCAGTGCGCCCAATGCGGCAGACGCATCTGGTCCGCCACGACCGACCAGAGGCCAAATGTAGACACCTTTTGAACTGAACATTGCACATTGCAAATAGTTTTGACACAAATAAGTTAAACATTGCAAATAGTTTCAAATTTGAATAAAAACGCACTCAAATAGTTTTACAGCCCAATCGAAATTGTCTTGAATGCATGGAAAGAAAATGAGCCAATATATCTACTGGTTGTCAATGTGATTTCACATGTGCTTAGGGCCAGTTCTTTTGTTAGCTTTTTTGGGCTTCCACAATAAGCTGCCCCCCTATCCAGCTTATTCTAGAAGCCCAACCAAAATTTTCTTTTTAGAATCCTACTAGTCAAGTCTTAACTACTAGGCTTCTAAAATAATAAATTTGGTTGGGCTTCTAGAATAAGCTGGGTAGGGGGCAACTTTTTACAGCTTGTTCTAGAAGCCACCAAAAGAACTGGCCAGTGTGCTCAACCAAGATGTTTTGGAGTTGAAAATGAGTATGCCAATCATGAATTCCACGATGGAATTGGGTGAACTCTTCAAACAATGTCGGTTTTTGGTGCCCAGGCATAACATTTTCACCCTGATATTCAAACCCTCTTCAAACATTGTCGGTTCTTGGTGCTCAGGCATAACATTTTCACCCTGATATTGAAACCCTTGGCCGTTGCCGTAGATGTAGTCATCGCGCTCATCCTCAACGATCATGTTGTGTATGATCACATAAATAGTCATCACCTCCCAAAGCTTCTCGGTGCTCTAGCCTCCATGTTAGTGCAGGGTGCCAAATGATACCACATTGATATTGAAGCGCACCAAAAGCATGCTCCACATCTTTCCTAGTAGTCTCTTGCTGCTAGGCAAATCTCCGTCTCTTCTCTTCATATTGTCTTTACAAGAATTGACCACTAAGGATAAATACCGCCAGCTAGTTAGTATCCCTTGTTGTAATGGTGACCATTGATCTCAAATTCGACCTCTGGGTAGTGGCCTTCTGAAAGCCTTAGGAACACTGGAGAACGCTGAAGCACATTAATGTCATTATGAGAACCAGCCATGCCGAAGAAAGAGTGTCATATCTAAAGATCTTGTGAAGCCATGGCTTCTAGTATGACAGTTCAACCTTTGGCATGCCCCTTGTACTGCCCCTGCCAAGCAAATGGATAGTTCTTCCATTTCCAATCCATACAATCTATGCTCCCAAGCATTCCCGGAAAGCATTTATTTGTATTGGTCGCCAACAACCGGGTTGTATCTGCGACATTTGGCTCTCTCAGTTACTCGGGTCAAACACTGCCACCACGGCCTTGCAGAAATTGTACATTGATTTGAGACATGTGGACTCACTCATACGTACGTACTCATCCACAAGATCACCCGGAGTTCCATATGCTAGACAGAAACTTGTTGGTTTGTATGGTGCAGGACAAAAACTTTGGCTGTAGTGCGCGATTTTACATTTTTTACTGGAACGACAAATAGTTCTGATTCCTTCTGCACCGTCTTGCTGTACAAATTGTTTATTTTTCCTAATTTCGGTAGAATTTTTGGGGTACCATAAGTATGGTGAATGTTCAGATTGCTACAGACTGTTATGTTTTTGACAGATTCTGTTTTTGATGCATAGTTTGCTTGTTTTGATGAATCTATCAATTTCTATCAGTGGATTAAGCCATGAAAAAGTTATGTTACAGTAGACACAATGCAAAAACAAAATATGAATTGGTTTGCAACAATACTTAGAGTAGTTATTTGCTTTATTATACTAACGGATCTTACCGAGTTTTCTGTTGAAGTTTTATGTGGATGAAGTGTTTGATCGAGGATGTCTCGATATGAGAAAAAGGAAGAGAGGCAAGAGCTCAAGCTTGGGGATGTCCAAGGCATCCCAAGTAAATATTCAAGGAGACTTAAGCGTCTAAGCTTGGGGATGCCCCGGAAGGCATCCCCTCTTTCTTCAACAAGTATCGGTATGTTTTCGGATTCGTTTCGTTCATGCGATATGTGCAAGTCTTGGAGCGTCTTTTGCATTTAGTTTTCACTTTTCTTTTATGCACCATGCTGGTATGAGATAGTCCGTGGTTGATTTATAGAATTCTCATTGCACTTCACTTAAATCTTTTGAGTATGGCTTTATAGAATGCTTCATGTGCTTCACTTATATCATTTGAAGTTTGGATTGCCTGTTTCTCTTCACATAGAAAACCGCCATTTGTAGAATGCTCTTTTGCTTCATTTAAATTTGTTAGAGCGTGGGCATATCTTTTGTAGAAAGAATTAAACTCTCTTGCTTCACTTATATCTATTTAGAGAGATGTCAGGAATTGGACATTCACATGGTTAGTCATAGAATCCTACATAAACTTGTAGATCGCTGAATATGATATGTTTGATTCCTTGCAATAGTTTTGTGATATAAAGATGGTGATATTAGAGTCATGCTAGTGGGTGGTTGTGGATTGTAGAGACACTTGTGTTGAGGTTTGCAAGTCCCGTAGCATGCACGTATGGTAACCGTTGTGTGACAAATTTGAAGCATGGGGTGTTTCTTCGATTGTCTTCCTTATGAGTGGCGGTCGGGGACGAGCGATGGTCTTTTCCTACCAATCTATCCCCCTAGGGGCATGCGTAGTAGTACTTTGCTTCGAGGGCTAATAAACTTTTGCAATAAGTATACGAGTTCTTTATGACTAATGTGAGTCCATGGATTATACGCACTTTTACCTTTCCATCATTGCTAGCCTCTTCGGTACCGTGCATTGCCCTTAATCACCTTGAGAGTTGGTGCAAACTTCGCCGGTGCATCCAAACCCCGTGATACGATACGCTCTATCACACATAAGCCTCCCTATATCTTTCTCAAAACAGCCACCATACCTACCTATTATGGCATTTCCATAGCCATTCCGAGATATATTGCCATGCAACTTCCATCATCATCATATACATGACTTGAGCATTCATTGTCATATTGCCTTGTATGATCGTAAGATAGCTAGCATGATGTTTTCATGGCTTGTCTGTTTTTTGATGTCATTGCTACGCTAGATCATTGCACTCCCCCGTACACCGCCGGAGGCATTCATATAGAGTCATATCTTTGTTCTAGTATCGAGTTGTAATATTGAGTTGTAAGTATATAAAGTGTGATAATCATCATTATAGAGCATTACCCCATAAAAAAAGAGAGGCCAGAGAAGCGTAAATAAAAAAAGGGGGCCAAAGAAGCCCGCCCAAAAGAAAAGAAAAGAAAAGAAAAGGGGCAATGTTACTATCCCTTTTCCACACTTGTGCTTCAAAGTAGCACCATGTTCTTCATACAGAGAGTCTCTTATGTTGTCACTTTCATATACTAGTGGGAATTTTCATTATAAAACTTGGCTTGTATATTCCAACGATGGGCTTCCTCAAATGCCCTAGGTTTTCATGAGCAAGCAAGTTGGATGCACACCCACTTAGTTCCAGTTTGAGCTTTCATACACTTATAGCTCTTAGTGCATCCGTTGCATGGCAACCCCTACTCCTCGCATTGGCATCAATTGATGGGCATCTCCATAGCCCGTTGATTAGATGCGTCGATGTGAGACTTTCTCCCTTTTTGTCTTCTCCACATAAACCCCCACCATCATATTCTATTCCACCTATAGTGCTATATCCATGGCTTGCGCTCATGTATTGCGTGAGGGTTGAAAAAGCTGAAGCGCGTTAAAAAGTATGAACCAATTGTTCGGCTTGTCATCGGGGTTGTGCATGATGGGGGCATTTTGTGTGATGAAAATGAAGCATGGCCAAACTATATGATTTTATAGGGATACACTTTCTTTGGCCAAACTATATTGTTTTTATGTCAAATGATAGACTATTGCTTTGAATCACTCGTGTTTTAATATTTATGCCATGATTAGACATATGATCAAGATTATGCTAAGTAGCATTCCACATCAAAAATTATCTTTTTTATCATTTACCTACTCGAGGACGAGCAGGAATTAAGCTTGAGGATGCTGATACGTCTCCGTCGCATCTATAATTTTTGATTGTTCCATGCCAATATTATTCAACTTTAATATACTTTTGGCAACTTTTTATACTATTTTTTGGGACTAACATATTGATCCACTGCCCAGTGCCAGTTCCTGTTTTTTTTTTGCATGTTTTATGTTTTGCAGAAACCCAATATCAAACGGAGTCCAAACGGGATAAAAACGGACGGAGAATTATTTTGGAATATTTGTGATTTTTGGGAGAAAGAATCAATGCGATACGGTGCTCGAGGTGGCCACGAGGGTGGCCCGCGCACCCACTTATACTGGGCGTGCCCCTGACCCTCGTGGCCCCCTCGTAAGGCGGTTGTTGCTCTTCTTTGGCCGCAAGAAAGCTAATTTTTGGAAAAATATCTGGGCGAAGGTTTCAATCCAATCGGAGTTGCGGATCTCCGGATATAAAAGAAACGGTGCCAGGGTAGAATCTGAGAGCGCAGAAAGAGAGAGAGATAGAGAGAGAGATCCAATCTCGGAGGGGCTCTCGCCCCTTCCAAGCCATGGGAGCCAAGGACCAGAGGGGAAACCCTTCTCCCATCTAGGGAGAAGGTCAAGGAAGAAGAGGAAGAAGGGGGGCTCTCTCCCCTTTGCT